AACAGGAAACTTCTAAAAAGGTTTTGGATATTACTATAACACATGCCAACTGCCTTTGTTTATCTTCTTTAAGCCTAGAAGATTACCTCTTGCCAAAAATCTGTTTACCACCAGATGTATTTCTGAAGACTTAGAGCAAGTGTCAATTTTGCAGTCTATTTGAGAGTAGACTGCCAGAGTTTCATATTTCCTCTTCAGTCTCTACCATAGCTGTATCTATCCTGTGATACCACCATCTACTTTAATCCTTGGGAAACACATAGCCAATTTCAGTCTGTGACATCTTTGTGTTTCCCATGGGTTTAACGGAATTGGTGTGGAATCATCACGGTGCTTCTTTGTGGAAATCTTGAAGCATTTAAAAAAAATTTTTTTTAAAGCATTTTTGAGTAAGATAGGAAAGTCCCAATAAGTGAAGAGAAAGAAGTGTTATATATGCAAAACATGCAATTGAAGAAGGGAAGGTCTTAATGGATAGGAAGAATCTAGGCATCTTTAGGAAAGATTCAGCTTTTAGGTCTGCAAGACAGATGAAAGGGCCTTATTTGTTTACTCTTTGCCAGACTTTTGTTCCTTCCTTGCAGGTGAAGATGAGGTATTTGCATCTTAGGCCAACTGCAAACCTGAATCTCCACTAGCCTGCAGTTGCAGGGCTCCTTGATGTGATAGTAATGGAGAATGTTACAAGGCGTAGAGAACTGGGTTCCTGACAAATGAGTCTTTGTTTTAAGTGTGATCTGGGTCCTGAATATAGCAATGACCCTTTGGTCCTACAAGGTATAGATCCAAATCATTGCTTTAATCCTCACATTCCCAATTCCACCCTCGCTTCCCTTATTCTCAGATAACCCTTACCTGCATCTCTACTAAGATCGCTGTCACTTACTTTTCATCCGTTTGCTGCCTTCTTCCCTGTGAGACGGCTCATCTCATGCTCTGCTTCCCAAATAGGATGTGTCTGTGCACTCATGCTGCCCATTCATCCTGTCTTAGAGGAAGAAATGGCAAGTTACCTTTCTGAGGCAGGGTAAATGTTCTTCCTGGGCTCTTGGTGTCCTGCCTTTTGGTCACTTGTACTCTTTTGCACTTCAGTTTCTCTCGTTCCACTTGATTCTTTCCTTTCCAACAAATATGTGTAGGTCTCTCTTTTTTATAACTAACAGAATGAACACAAAATCTCTCATTGGTCCTGCTCTTTATTTAGACAAGTCACCAGACCAACCCTTATCATCCATCCGTTCAAACTTTCAGCTGTCTCTCCATTCAGTTTTCAACCATCCATCCATCCATCCAACATTAACCGAGTGACTTTATTTTACACATTATATTACTGAGCCCCAGAGAATCAAGAGTACCAACTAAGGCACACAACTTGGCGTCTTGCAATATATTAGGGCCTTTACCTTTCAGCAGGATGGTAAGGTCGTATTGACTTCCCAAATGACAAATCTAATTGGTGCTTTTCAGTTCTCATCTTACTTAATCTGCATAGTTCTTGGTGTAGACAGATTGCATTTTAAAAGACTATGAAATGTGTAAATTTATTTTAATTTTATGTTTATTTGTCAGATTTAAAAACTGTTTTGTTCCACAATTGCAATTCCATTAAGGCTACTAGCATGTCTAAGGGCTAATTTTAAAATCTAAATTTGTTTATGAGAGCTTTGCTGTTTACATTGTAGGTTATGCACCAGGGAGAATAATTCAAAGTGACACCAGATATGTGCATGTTAAATAACACCATCTGCCCATTTGGATCTGTGCAACTTTTTAAAAATACTGTGAGGTTCTGGCCCAAGCCTGCTGTGTTTCAGGATATTGGACAGATCATTGGTGCTAAGACCCCAGATTAGAGGTTTTGGTTTGAAGTGTAAGAAGGCTTTAAGTTCTGTCCCACTTCCTTTTGGTAGCTGTTCTTTTAATTCGTATTGGAGTACCTGCCCCATGGTACTGTAGGCACAAGTGTAAAAGTCTGTACTGGGTAAGAAGCTACATCTACGGCTGTAATAGGACAGGCTTGAGAAGACCCTCCTTTGCCTTCCAAACAGCTGCATGAATAACCCAGTCTTCACTAATGTCTATTATTTTTGCATTAGAAATACTGGCTGGAAGGTCTGTCTCCTATTATAATGCAAATACTCCCATTAATATGAAGCATTTATATGTTGGGATGTATTATCCAGTCCCATTTGATAGACTTCTGGATTACATTTGATAGCTAAGAAGGCAAAGAGACAGTAGAATAGGAGGGCATTTGGAAATGAAGATTTGAAAAGGAAAATGACAGGTAAAATCTGTTAAAATGAGCAAGAGATTTATAAAAAGATGTCTTGTTTTAGGGCCCTAGTAAGATTAGTGGCACAAGAACTGAGGCTTCAGGTTAAATAGCGACTGAGTTAGCTTTGTGACTTTGGACAACCTTAACATGTAGCCCTCATGCATTCTAAATGAAACAGTTCATGGGCCTTGAGGGTTCCTTTTAGTGCTGGGGTTCTCTGATTCAACTAGATAAACTGAGAAATCCTAGAGAGTCCCAAAGTGGGGTTTTGTGTGTGTGTGTGTGAGAGGCACTGTGGGCCTGTGGCGTGGATCGGTAGTGTCAGGGGCCCTGTCTGTGCTCTGTGACCCCGGAGCACAGCCTATGCTTGTTACGGAGTGTTCAGTGCTGTGCTGCTGAATCAGTGAAGGCCTGGCAGGTGCCCAAGCAGCAGAATATAAAAAGCAGAGTCTTGGGGCAAAGAAAGCTCTTTCCCACAAGTGATTGAGAGCCATTGCCAGTTCTGTGACCGTTGTTCTGGGTCCTTTGGAGCCTTCCTTCTCTGCAATAAAGACAAAGCCAAAAATCTTTTTTTTTTTTTTTGGGTGGTCAGGACCAAATGGTGAGCAGCCTCCTTTTTCACAATGATTACCAGGCCTTTCAGCCAACCGTTTAGTAACAGACAATGCGCTGTATGAGCCTGAACTGTCGAGTAACAAGAGGGGTACGTGAGCTGTGCTGCCCAGGGGAGGTGTGCACAGCACCAGTGTGATACAGAATAGCTTTGCTGTTCTTTAGGAACCAGCTATGCAGCAAGCACTGAACTAAGTCTTTTACATGGGGTTTGAATCTGCATGATTTCAATGAGTGTGAAATTAAGGACACTCAAGGATAACTAACAAATGTGATTTACACTTTATAGTTGAAGAAACTGATATTAAAATAGATAAAATAACTCACTTGAGGTTACAAACTCCCTTCTGGATCTATGGTTCGTAAACTTACCGTTCTTGAATGCTGTTCTTTCTTCAAACAACATCTCTTATTCCTCCTGTTCCTACATTATAGACTAGTCCTATCCCTTTTACATATTCTCCTTGTCTGTCCAGTCAGATTACTTAAATGTCTTAACGTGAAAATTCATAGAGTCAGAAGGGGTAACTCCTTGGCATTAAATCAAGTTGTCCTGTTATAGGATTGCAAACATTTGGTTTGATTGATAGTTCCTTCTGGTCATTTGTAGATGTTCTTTCTATCTTTAAAGGGATTTTTGGTAGAACAAAATAGAGAAATACCAATTTTTAAATGATAGCCCAAAGTCTATTACAAAGAACTTAACTTTTCTCTTCTTTCATGCATTAAAAACACTAAATCCTCTCTTTCAGGAGGCCAGTCTAGCTAAAGGTTTGTCACTTTTGTTGATCTTTTCAAAGAACAAATTTTTGGCTTCATTGATTGTATATTACTTGTTTTTTTCGTTCATTCATTAAGTATTTATCAAATCCTGGAAATACAATCATGAGCAAAACATGTTTTCCACTCTCTCAAAACTCTTACTCTAGTGGGATATGTAGATATTAAACAAACGTCATAAATGCTGCCAGGAAGAAAAGCAGGGTGCTTTGAGAGAGGCAAGAGAAGCTGACTGTAGATCTGGTGACTAGGAAAGAGCTCTGAGGAGGTGGCATTTAGACTGAAATGAAGGGATGAGAGGCATCATCTTGTTTTTATGAAATAAATAAGGGTAAAGGTAATTAATTTTATGTATTTCCACATTCTATTTTGTAAAAGTTGTTCCTAGGAGACTTTGGGATATAGTTGATTCTTAGATTTCTTCTCTGTAATGACTTGTGACTGCTTATGGAACAGATTCAAAATTAGACAGGGAGGCCAGGAAAGGATGTGGGGAGAGTAGCTTCAGACAGTGGTGGAAAGTGTTCAAGGGGAGGTGGGGCAGGTGGGAGGGGTTGGGGGAGGTCGCTTGCTTTCCCCTTGCTTAGGAGTCCTGACTTCAGTCTAGTCATGTGAGCATCATTGTTTCTTTCCTCTTTTAATGAAAGTTATTTCTTTTCTTCTTTGCAAACAGCACATTATTGGTAGGCTTGTGAGTTAGCAAATGTTAAAGGTGTACAATAGATACTAGTGTTTATAAAGCACATCTCAGTTGGCAGACATTACAGCAGTTGGCTGCCAGAGGTCCATGAAATGGGATAACTATTGCTCTTCCTGTAGAGCTGGATTTCTCTAAGGAGATGCTGCTTGGTTTTTTTTTTAATGGAATTTTGATGTCTTAAAAATCTTATGCAGGTATGACTTTATCAGAATATAAAATGCCAAACACTGGAATATTTCATAAGCCACACTTTTAAAACTAGCTTCTTTGTATTTATTTCTGGAATTTCTTTTCAGCTATGGTGATTTTATTATCAATATTATATAAATTTGGAGGAAAGTAATAATGAGCAGCTCTTAACAAAGTTTTTTTCACCGTGACTGTGTATATAAATTTTCCTTAAAAGCCAATATTGAGTGGATAAAACAACACTGAGAAGTTAAAATATAAATGGTATTTACTTTTGTTAAATTTCTTAATTTTTAGAATTAAACAATTTTTTAGGAATAAATACGTTTAAACCACTATTTAAGGTGGGTATAATTAGTAGATAAAACATATTTTATGAGTATGTACAAAATTATAGCTGGTAACAGGACTGTAATCATGCTTTCTATTTTTCTGTTCTAGATATTTGAATGGTGGTATTTTCGCAAGTACGGAACATCATTCATTGAACAAGTCTCAGTAAGCCACTTGCGCCCCCTTCTGGGAGGGGTTGACAACAGTTCCTCCAACAATTCTAATTCCAGTAACGGGGACTCAGATTCCAACAGGCAAAGTGTCTCAGGTATGGAAAGTCCTTCAGTTTGCAATATTTACTTACTTTTACTGAATTGTTATGACTATAAGACAGTAAGAATATCATTATTTAAATATTAGGCTTCAAAGAAAAATGCAATTTATTTTCCCAAGGAGTTGACAGCTTCTGCCAGAGAAGTTGAGTGTAAGCATCCCAGGTAAAGGAAATATGTGTTTTGTTTAATTTGACTTTTTCTTCCCTGGTGCTCAGTTGGTAAAGAAGCTGCCTGCAGTGCAGGGGACCTGGGTTCACTCCCTGGGTTGGGCAGATTTCCCTGGAGAAGGAAATGGCAACACACTGCTGTATTCTTGCCTGGAGAATCCCATGAACAGAGGAGTCTGGTGGGCTACAGTCCGTGGGGTTGCAGTCAGACACAACTGAAGCAACTGCGCATGTATGCACGTGAGCTGCTTCTGTATTGCCAGTCTTGAATTCCATCACAGTCTTTCCCCCGTTCTTTTCATTTTTTGAACATGCTGTGTTTTCTCAATCCTCTGCCCAGAGGCCTGCTTGCCTTCCTTCTGTGCTTGCTCATCTTTCACACGCGCACATGCTCGGTCGCTTCCGACTCTTTGTGACCCCACGGACTGTAGCCCACCATGACAGGCTCCCCTGTCATGGGATTCTCCAGGCAAGAACACTGGAGTGGGTTGCCATTTCCTCCTCCAGGGGATCTTCCTGACCCAGGGATTGAACCCTCGTCTCCTGCATTGGCAGTCAGATTCTTTACCACTGAGCCACACACCCCAACTCAAATGCTACCTCCAGGGAAACCTTCTCTGAGAGGCTGGGCACTCTCTCTCCACCTTTGTTGACTCAATATTTTTACTTTTAGCAACATTTACTAAATTATAATGAAATTTTTAACCTTACTGCTTAATCAAAGTATCTCTAGCATTTTGAATAGTCTCTACTTTATCATTGAAACTCAGTAGATGAAAGAATGAGGACATACAAGGCCTGTAATTTCTCCCCTCATAAAAGAAGAGGGATGAATATAATTTCCTAGATAGGTCTCTTCATCAATTCAGTAAACATTTCCCAAATCTCTAATGTGAACCTGGCCTGGTTCATATGAATATTATGGTTTAAAAATAATGCCAGAGTCCTTGCCCCCATCAAACTCTTGTGTCTGTTGAAGGAAACAAAGTGTTCAGTGCTGTGATTATATGAGGGAAACATGCAACCCTACAGAGTACAAAGGAGGGGATCCCAGTCCAAACTGGGGGAAGAAGTTTGCTTCTTGAAGGAGATGGTACCAGTTCTGAGACTTGAAGGGTGAAGAGGAGATAAAAGAACTAAGTTAGATCTTTTTTTCCTTCCTGCCTAAAATAACTCAGTCCATATTTCATAACTGTCTAGCCAGGTGATAGACATCAATGAGTGGTGTGTGTGTGTGTGTGTGTGTATGGAGAAGGAGATGGCAACCCACTCCAATATTCTTGCCTGGAAAATCCCATGAACAGAGGAACCTGGCGGGCTACAGTTCCGGGGGTTGCACACGAGTCAGACGCAACTTGGGACTATACAACAACTATGTGTCTGTGTGTATGTGGGGGCTTCCCAGGTGGCTCTGTGGTAAAGAACCTGCCTGCCAATGCTGGAGGTGCAAGAGACTCGAATTTGATCCCTGGGTTGGGAAGATCCCCTGGAGGAGGGCATGGCAACCCACTCCACTATTCTTGTCAGTGAAATCTCATGGACAGAGGAGCCCAGTGGCCTGTAGTTCATGAGATCACAGAGTCAGACATGAATGAGCAACTGGGCACACAGCACATACGCACACGCACACACACACGTACATATATATTTATGTATATATACTATACCTGATGTTGATTCAATGCTCTTTTATTGATAATATACCCTTTGCCAGCCCACCATGGTAATGGGCACCTCTATTTCACCTCTGTTTCATTCTAAAGGGTACATGTGTGACAGATGGTACCACTGAGGTAACAAAATTGTCTGGGACTTTATAAACTCATCCATTTTGTGAAAGGAACAGAAAGAGATCTGAGCAAAGTAAAATACTATGTTGACCAACCATTCTTACATGGGTGGCATATTATTCTAATGAGGAATCTTGATCCTACAGTCATTATCACATAAGCAGTTGTGGCTTATCACCATCACTTTGCATCTGTTGGAACCCTGCAGGTTAAATGTACTCTGTGTGACCCAAGTTACTGTAGTCTTCGGATGACACAGAACATTGTAGAAAATTAATAGATTGAACACAGAAAGCAGCCTCATTTAAGGACATTTTTATTGTGAATGTGTTTTTATTTTCATTAAAATTCTTTCTACCCAATTTAAATCTCTTGACATCATTCCTTCATGTGACAGTTTATATTCTCCTTATTGTCACTGTTACTTTGCTCTCTCTCTCTGTGGGTGCCTTGAACAAACCTTATGCATTGTATAAATCTTGATGCTACTCTTAGTGCGTGTATAGCAGCTTTTAAAGGGAAAATTACAGTCCTTTATAAAAATACATTCTACAATAATGATCATGGAAATTCCCAGTTTTAATTGTACTGAGTTTTTACCTCAGTAAGATTGAGCTTTTGAGTATTATTATTAGTTCTCTTCCTCTAGTATTGGCTGAATGTCTGCTACTATGCATTCAATATTTCTATTCATCTCCTATAACAGTTATAGCATTTAAGATCTGATTTCATAACAGCATTCAAATAATTACGTTTAAGAAAACAAATTAATTTGTCCTAGTGGTTTAGGGCTCCCTCAGCCCACTTCTCCTTGACATTTGGGTTTCTGCTGTTTCACTAACTCAGCTCAACACACATGTATGTTGGTATGGAAATGCCAGGTAACATGGGATTAATACCATTTCTCACTTCTCTTTCCTTGTGGCGATTTTTATTTTTGAACAAGAAAAATGCTATTATATGAAAGTATGTTGTCTCTCTATAGCTCTACCCTTAATGATTGTCTACTTCATTGTCTTGGTTTCAGCCAAGTATAAAGGAAAAAGAAGATCCAAAGCTGAGAGTAATTAATATATTTTATTGAAATGGAGGAATTTGTTTCAAAATTATTCTGCTTTAATAATAATAAAATTACTATTGCTTTAATAAAAGAATCACCATAAGATATTTCTTGGCTGAATATTATAGGAAATAAACATGGCTAACCAAGTCCCATGAACATTGGCAAAGGCAGTTAAATAGTATTCCTTATTTGAAAAAAATCATTCAGAAAGCTGAAACAGAGAATACTATTTATATAAACATTGGACTATATAAAAACTCATAGTATAGCTCTTTCCTTAAAGAATCATTTGTTTCATTAAAAGCTGAAAGACCTGGCCTACCTAAGAATAATTTGCAGTGGAGAAATGGGAAGTGATTGTTATTAGACAGACTGTTCATATGCTGTTTAACATTTGGATCTGTGTAAATTGGCCCAAGTGCAAATCCTCTCAAAATTTGCAGTGATCTTTATTTATGGACCAGAGCAGAAATGTATAATTAATAATACAGCTTCTTAATCTAGCCAAATTTCTGATTGTTTGGCTTAGGTTAGCATTTGTGACATTTTACTTGTCTCAATTTATTTGGGAGCTAAATGGGTATTTTTGTCACAAATACACAATTTCTGATAAACCCTGCTGATGTATTTTCCATATCACCATGTTTCCTGTAGCCATTTTAAAAAATTCATTACATCTAATAGCATAATTAATAACCTGTGATCAGAATTATACAAAGGAAAGCTGAATATATTTATTCCTGTCTCCTCTTTCATAATTTGACATGTTCTTTTGAATAAATTCAGACGGTTTACTTTCATCCTTTTTCCAAATGACCTAGCTGCACAAAACTACTTAGACACAACTAAGTCTCTAAGTAAGCACTGTCTCATGGAAATATAATGCTAACTATGAGTGTAATTTTTAGCATTTTTAATAATCATGAAAATAATAAAAATGTACAGTGAAATGTGTATTTTTTTAACCAAATAGGTCTAAATATTTTCATTTTAACATGCATTCAATATAAAAATTATTAATGGCATCCAGTGTGTATTTACACTTACTCTTGCTGCCATTGCTTAATTCAGCCTAAGTTATGAACTGATGATGCATAGGGATTTAAAATGTGTCCACCTTCTCCCTATCTTAAGGGAAGGGATTCTCAGGGTCTAAGAACATTCTGAATTTGGGTTTATGGGAATATCTGTTTGATAATTTTCCCTGTTCTCAAATAAGATGCCACAAAGACAAAGTTTGCACTGTTCACCTTCTTCAAGATATTTACAAAAGTGCAGGGTGCTCCATCACATAAGAATTATCCTTGTCAAAGTCAAGTTTAAATTCTCTGAGACACGTTAATAGCCTCTTGCATAGAACTGGATCTTTAGACAAACTGGTTATAGTCATTTGGCATACTGTTGCAAGTCATCTCATTTTAATCTCACTTTATTTAAGATAAATATATATTGTATCTTTTTTTGATCCTATGTACTGTAACCCGCCATGCTCCTCTGTCCATGGGATTCTCCAGACAAGAACACTGGATTGGGTTGCCATTTTCTTCTCCAGAGGGTTTTCCCACCCCAGGGATTGAACATGTTTCTCTTGAGTTGGCAGGTGGATTCTTTACCACTGAGCCGCTAGGGAATCCCATATCATATCCATTTTTATATAAAACTTTTAATAGGACTTTCACCTGGAATTCTCAATTAAGTTTCATTATATCACTAGAGGCAGTTCAAGCACTGGTTTAATACAGGTAACAAATTAAAGAAAAGCAATGGAGATGAAGAAACTCATAGGTTGTAAATATATATCCTACACCATGCCTTTCAGAGTTTGCATTTTAAATATATCTGTTAGTAAAATTTCAAGTTGCTATATGTCGAGGGCCTTTAGAATTGCTCTTTAATAGCCTCAATCAGGGGAAACTCAGTTTATACTTGCCAAAATCTATTTAAGTGTTGAAAATTATTCTCTTAGGCAATGCTTATTACATCTTTTAAAGTCTTTTGCCATTAAAAATGTGTGTTCTAGGATAGATTAGCTCTCCAGTTGACTGGTGAAAGTTCCTCAAAAACACGTTTGGCTGCTGGTGAATATCTACTTAATAAATATTTTACGGTCTTCATATTATTTGATAGATTTGATTGACTTAGATCAGAAATGACCAACCAATGAGAAATGTATGAGAGACACAGAGGTTAGCCATTTAAGCAATATTCTTTTTTTTTTTTTTTTCCCATTTATTTTTATTAGTTGGAGGCTAATTACTTTACAGCATTGCAGTGGTTTTTGTCATACATTGAATTAGCCATGGATTTACATGTATTCCCCATCCCGGTCCCCCCTCCCACCTCCCTCTCCACCCCATCCCTCTGGGTCCTCCCAGTGCACCAGGCCTGAGCACTTGTCTCATGCATCCAACCTGGGCTGGTGATCTGTTTCACCCTAGATATACATGTTTCGATGATAAGCAATATTCTTAAAGAAAGTTGTACACTGTCTTGAGTAAAGCAGGTCAATAAAAATGATCTTAAAACTCATAATTATTTGTACCTTTTCTCATTCCATAAAAGAATTTGAAAGGATAGTATATTTGTTGAATTGGAAGCTACCTATATATTATTAATACTTTGTGCCTTTACTTCTAGTAATCTTTTCAAAATTATCTCCAAAAGTTATGAAAAGTTAAAGCTTAATTATTTAAGAAAATGGATATTTTGTTATTAATGATTGCTTAAGATGGACTTGTATTCACTGAGTATTCATTTCTGATATAGCAAAGCTAATAAATAAATGCAGAATCACATGTTAGAAATTGACTAACTTGAGGTTATCTTGATTGTCATATCTGATGGAACATTATTTAGAGCCCTTTTCTGTTGTACTTTGGAACTAAAATATTTTAAAGTATTATTTTCAAGTGCCTAATATTTCCCTAGAGGAGTTCCAAAATTATGTCTCTAGTAGAGAATGTAATTGATGAAGTCACAGGATTTTTAAAATATGATGTTGCAGGGGAACAGGTCTGTTGTATATTGTAGGTAATTGTTAGGCAGGCTGGATACCAGGCCTTAATCTCACTTACTTTTCCTTGGGGAAATTATGTAGCTTTTCTATGCTTTACCCTTTACTTATATAAAAAGGGACTACTTTGTGACCCTCACTAGCTTATGTAAGGAATATAGATGACTTGAACTTTAAGCTTTTTTATAGAAAGGCTTATAGCTATAACAAAGTTGCTATTGCTACTCTTTGTACTGTAATGGTATTACTGTCATCATTACATTTTGGATCCAGGGACGAGGTGGTAAATTTTAGTATAGTACATCTTCCTAGACTATAAATTAGTTATATATTTGAAAGTCCTAGGAGTGAGGATTCTTTCTATGTCTATATTTCTAATTTTAGGATAAAAAAGTTTCCAGAGTTAAAAAAAAATTGGATATAGAAAAATATTTTCTTCCTTATGATGATTAAAAGCCCTATGACCTTTGGTTTTTCCAAGAATTAAGTTCTCTTTTTACTTAAGGACTGTGATCAAGGGAAAGTCTATGGTTCTCTCAGTATATTTACTCCTTTTATAAGAACTTCTTCATATGGATACCAGACAATAGTTTGGTACCTTTTTCTTTTTCTACCAATGGATAAGTGTGTCTAGGTCATAAAATGTATCTTTTGGGGAGGACCTAGGATTTCCTATAAGACTAAGGCATAGTAGCCATTCTATTCGTGCCTAAACCCTTTAGTTCAGTGAGTAACTGGGGCGGGGTGGGGGAGGGTTCTGGGGGAATATGAAGAGGCAGGAAATAAGTATCCACTGAGATGGAAAGTTGTGGTAAGAAAAATTTATTTTTTTGTATTATATGTTAAATACAAACCTTGTATCTTACTTATCTTACTTGTATCTTTTATCTGCTGAAGACCTGAGTTTAATTTCTTGACTTAAATCTTCATATTATGATAATTTTGACATTTGCAACCTTTGTCTATATCATGAAACCATCAGAAATTTATGGGGTATGTTCCCTAGAATGATTCCATACAAAGAGAGTTTTTGTAGTAAAGATAAAATCATGAAACATAGCAGCAAAAAAGAAACGAATGTAGCTATAAGCTAATTTGAAGTAAAATTTTACATGTGTTCATATTAGACCTCTAGATTGCTTATATCTTAAAAGAAAATTATACCTTCTCCGCACCCTCAACTTGAAGGATACTGCTCATGAAGACATTTCTTACATATTTCTTCATCACGTTCGTTCTCATTCAGAACATTTAACATCTGTTACAGTTGCTCAGACACTCATTTCTAAGTTTTAGAAGTAGCTGAAGAAACTGCATACAGACCATATGTATGACACTAACAGTAGCTATGATTTTTTTTTAAAATCAGTACTCTTGAAGTCATAAAAACAATATTTCAAAATGTTTGCAGCACCCCCTGCTGGCTATACCTTGGCACTTCCTAAATAAAGATGGCATCTTTAAATACTGCTAAGGAAAGCTTTAATTATACTCACCGTTTCTCTTTGGGGTTATTTTTATTTAGAAATAATTTCATTTGCATCCAATGCATAATAGAGTTAAAATTTTAATGAAAGATAATTTTCTTTATAATTTGTCGATTAATATTTGAATAGCACTTATCCTCCCAAGCAATATCATGTCTTTGATGGAGACAAAATTTTTGCCATAACTTTTTTACTGATATTTCAGATGAAATTTGTTAGGGGAGAGGCTTCTAAAAATGTCCCTATTTATTGTAAATAATGTTAGAAATGACCGTCATTTGAATACAGATTTTTATTATATGTTAAATACAAACCTTGTAATATTCATGAAGCTTTCAGAAGATTTAAGAAGAGCATTTGGAATCTTAGAAGACGTCATCTTAGGAGAGATTGGGAGGGGTGGGGACCTCAGAGCCATAGAAGCCATAAGTACTGAGATCATGGTTGTTTGGCTCACCAGTTGTTTCAAGCAATAATTTGAAGTACGTTAGTGACCCCACTAAGGAGCTTCATGTCTGGAAAAAAAGTATTTACTTAAGGGAAGTGTAATTTTTTAATTAGTGGCATATGAAATGACAGCCATCGAATTTCAGTTTCTCAAGAACAAAATTCAGTAATGCCAAACTAACTGAGCAAAGATCATTTCTTAAATGGCAAGTTAAGCTAAGTGACAAAAAATTTAGGACCATTGTTTCCAAACATAAAGTAAATTTCAGGTGGGATCTTGCCCTAATTTAAAGATAAATTTATTTTTTAGAAAATAAGAACATGACTTCCTATTATGTGTACACCTTTCATTTGCTATTTTTAAAAAATGTATTGAGATTGCACATGGTGTTCCCAAAATGCTTTTTGTTTTCCTCCATTTTCACGCTGTATTGTAACCCATGGTTTATGCATTTGTTTCACCCACTGAGTGCTCAGTTAATGTATTCATATATTGGATGGATGGATAGATGAATGAATGGATGGATGGGTGTTGAATTTAACAGGACTGAGGGTAGAGTCTTAATGAATCATTCATGGCCTTTAATGTTCTTTCAGTTTCTGCAATAATTGCTCACTTTTGTGTGTCTGTGTCTTTGGGTGTGTTTTTTTGGCTGACAGCACACATGGGTTTTTAAATGCTGTTAACTTATTTTATTTTCTAATAAAAAGTTATTCATCCAAAGAAATATTAATAGCAATCTGAATCAGTAGAAAGTCTTAATCATAGACAGTTTTAAAAGAATTGCAGCTTATTAGTCACAGATTTACTATAACTCTCTCAAAAAGCTAATGGTTTACTTTTCTAAATTAAAGTCCTATGGTTCTGCCTGTGGTTCTTGTATAACAAAATGTATAATCTATTAGTACATGTTAGCATTATGATATTAGTTAGTATGATGATTAATTACCTGTTTCTGCATAAGTAAACCATGGTAAAGTATTTGAAAACAATTTTTTTCATAACATTTCTCCCTACAGTGATGGTAGCTTTAGTATTAATTTTCTTGCCACTCCTTTCCAGCAGTATAAAAGCAACATGGTGAATTATCACAAAATCATTGTTAACATAGGCCCTAATTAAGAGCCTGAGGTTCTTTGCACATTGTACTCTGGAGCTTAAATGTAGCTTGTTACATAGGTAGACACTGTAGGATATATTTTAGAGTTGTAGAAAGTAGTTTTACCTCTACCTATCATTTAGAAATAAATTTATAGAATGTATTTTGATCTCTTGAAGTGACTATGGAAGTTATGAACTAGCTGATTTTGGCATTTGCCTTGATTTAACAAATGAGGAAACTTCAGTCCAGAGAGATTAAGTGAAACTTTCCGAAGTCCTGGTGCCTGAACTACATTTCCTGATTAACTACCCAGAGTTTTTCCACATTACTTCCCATGTAGAAGATAGAAAATAAAATTATCTTATCAAATGGCCAGGAAGGGTGTTTTGCTGAATTAATTAGCTTGTAGTGTCTCTGAACTTATGTGTAACATTTTCACATTCTCTTTGTTGCAGAATGCAAAGTATGGCGAAATCCACTTAATTTATTTAGGGGTGCTGAATATAATCGGTAAGCATTTTGACAGCTTGGGAAATTAATGGGTCTAGTTCAGAGAGCAAAGACAGCAGTAGATGTTTTTGCAGGTTCATTTAGGGGTCATTTAACAGTCTGTTTAGTACTTCCATTTTTTGATGCTCAAATATTTTGATTTTTCTGTTTTATAAATATTTTAGCTTTGAACTTAGGAAAACATACAAACCTGTTGTTTTTAGAGATTTTTCTGTTCATTATATATTATAAAGTCAAAATATTTTGTAGCTTACCTGGAACATGGTTATAAAGGTGCCCCAGAAGTAATGTTAGAATTTAATTTTTTAGAATAAGTAGGCAAATCAGAATTTTCATAGCTTTGGGGAAATCTCTATTCATAATACTAATTAGGGAAGGTTTTCACTAGCTAGTGCTACTAAAATTTTAAGACAAAAATATAGCAGAATTTTTAAACTTTTTTCTGCTGATATACTTCCTAAAATGAGGCTAGCATGATTATTTTGTTCTTAATATTGGCAGTAGTACTTAGTTAATGGGTTATAGTTCAACACCTATGCAGCTTAATATTTTGTAGGTCTTGCTTTCCTCTCTCAGAAGTGTCTGATCATCTTACTTCTCTTTTACAGGTACACTTGGGTGACTGGACGAGAGCCTCTGACTTACTATGATATGAATCTCTCTGCCCAGGACCACCAGACCTTCTTTACCTGTGACTCCGACCATCTGCGTCCTGCAGATGCAAGTATGGAAAATCCTTTAGGTAGTTACTGAGTGGGAGGGCTTTTGGCTTGTTTTAGAGATCAAGGTTACTACTTTTAGAATGTCTGCTCTATGAAAACCTTGATGAATAAAATATTAAGTTGGAGATTGACCAGTAAGACCCAGAAAGTTGCTACTTAAATAAAGCTTACTTTATTGGCTTCATTGCCATGAAGTGTTATTGTAGACATGAGTCCCCTCATTATAATTGAAAATGTTATTTTTAAAACATATACCAAAGTTGGATTTACTTACTTTTAAGAAGTATAGCTCTTATATGAAGCTAACTAAATCCTTGGTTGAGACAGAATGAACGGTCATGTCTCCCAGATTAAGACATCTTAATTAAGTCTCTATGATTATAGACTATGGGTTAGTATATAAGATATTAGGTCTCTAGTTTTATGATCCTAAGAAAGATTTTATATCAGCTGTTGAAGGACAATGGAATAGCAAATTAGAATGTATTTGTGTGACTTTAGAGTTTTGGGCTAACCCACTCGGTAAGTGAACTCTTCTTTTGTAATGCAAGAGGAAAGCTATTAATTTAGCTCTTGTACTGAATCTTCCTGAGTATATATTGACTTCTTCTTCTCTTTTTTTCTAAAATAGTAATGCAGAAAGCCTGGAGAGAGAGAAACCCCCAAGCTAGGATTTCTGCTGCTCACGAAGCCTTAGAGATAAATGAGTAAGTGGGGGGAAATCTTGCTTTGCTGAATGTTTTCAGTTGCCCTTCATGGGATACTTGCACTAAACTATGTATTTGAACTTGAGGATTATTCTGGGGGCATTAATTAATTTTAAAAAAATTTAAAGGATATCCATGTGAAGGTAGTTTTAGTCATTTTAGAGAACAATTTAGTGGCTTTGCTATGGTCCTAAATTAAATCATTTAAGGGCTAGCCGTGGAATACTGTGTGGACATAAAAATAAATACAGTGCTTTCATACCTAACACATTATGACAGGGACATTTTTCCAGACATACAATGCTCATTTGTGCCATCAGATTTTCTAAGTAGATCTTCTGCTGGGGGGGAACATAGTAAAAACATAAAGTGAAGAAATTAACACTTTAAAAATATTTCAAGATCAAGACAAGGAGGAACTGATGTCCTTAGTGTTGTTAAACATTCTGTGGATCACCAAGGAAGGTTGGAGACTCTCGTCTGGAGATGTCAGAAAATGAGAGATTCTTAAAACTGGAGTCATAAAAGCTCAGGGTTGGCAGAGGCCTTAAAGGTCATGTAACTCAAACACCCATCTGGTGCTTGAATCACCTCAACACTCTCCCTGCCAAGTGGTCATTGTTAAACTATTTTATGATTTTTCTGAAGAAGGGTACAGAATCTTCAGAGGTCTTAGTGAAAAGATTCACTTGAGAGTTGGAAATCCTGCCAGTGTAACCAGTTGATCTATTTGGTTTCTGATTCTGTCATGCAACATATTTATTTTCCAGTTTCTTGTCATCTACAAATTTGATATGCCTGCTTTCTATGTGTCATCCATGTTTCTGATAAAAGTGGCAGGACCAGGGAAAGAGCCCTGTGACCCTACATATAGAAACCACCCTCTGGAGTCATGTTTTCATGAATCATCATTCTTTGGGTTTTATTGTACAACCAATTACTAAGCCACCTAGTTACACCATGATTCAGCCTATATTTCTGCGTTTTGAGATACCAGTTGTAGCTGTGGATCTTTAATGTGCAGTAAATCCATTAGAGTACATTAGGTTAACACAGCCTGATTTATTTATTCTTAGTGAATTTAAGCTAGCTTCCAGCATTCACTACTTTCTTTTTAAAATGCCTAGAAACTATCCCTTTAATAATCCATTAGAATATCTCTCCAAATCAGAACCAAATTGTTCTGTAGTTTGGGAAGCCTGCCTTCTTCCCCTTTTTGAACATTTTTACTATGTTTGTCATTTCATCTTCTAGTACCTCTCCATTGTTTGTGATTCCTTAACAATCCACAGAGAGCAATTCTGTGGGCTGCCTACAAGATCTGTTGGCTTTCTGGGATTTGCCCATCCCAGTATAGTAATTCATTTAGCATAGATCAGTTATGTGCTATCTTACATCTTTTTAATTCATTTTAGAGTTTAATTTCTTCTCCCTTTGTCAGCCTGACAATCATTCTTCCTGATGGAGAAACCAGGAAGAAAATAGGAGTTAGAGAGTTTTGTTTTCTCTTTATTATCTGTTGCTACTAACTATAAACTTTCCTCGTTTTGACATTGTTGTGTTGTTTGTCTTTTTTGCTTATTTATAGTGTCATGGTTTTGGAGAAGTTGGGGTGGTTACAGGGCCTTAAACATAATATGAAAACAGGGAATAGATGGTTGTCTTTAGCATTTTTCATTTTGCTTTTATTTTGTTTTGAGAGCTTCAGCTAATGTGAAGTTGCAGCTCTCCTGACGTTATTCTTATAAGCTCATTTCACTTTCTTATAGCCCTTCATCACATACCCTCTTTCCATCTTTTTTTACATGTCCTTTAAAAGTATGATCTTGTGGGCGACCTCTGTGCCGCCATAGTGGTTACTTGTCACCCCTCTTTTCTTCCTGAGAGGGTCATTTGTGATTGCAGTTATGATTAGACATTTGGAAGCTGCCAACTCTCTTAAACCATTTGCCTTCTGCGTCTCATGCCATTGAATCATGCCTCTTTTCTTTGAATTTTTTGAAGTCCACCTTACCTTCTTTTACTATCCTAAACTCTGAAATGACATAGTAACTCTCTCTGAATGTTCCTATCAATTTTCATTTCACCAACTATTTTTTTCTTCTTGGTCAGAATTAGGTCCAGAGTTGAAGTTCCCCTAATTGCTTCCTCTACCATCTGGGAGATAAAATTGTTACCAAAGTAAGTCAAGAACCTCTTAAGTGCCCTCCTTCTAACCAAATGAGACGTCTTCTAGCAGATATCTGGATGGTTGACACCCCCATCACCATACTTTCTTGCTTCTGTATGTGTATTGTGTTGTGACAAGGACACATCATCTCTATCTTCCATTGAGCTGAGCAGTCTGTTCTGTCCCCACCAACCATTAGCACTTCTACTGCTCTTTCCTTTCTCCTTCACCCATAAACTCTTAGCATGTTTCTACCCCAGACTCATGAGTCTCCACATAGATGTATGTTTTCTTGGCCAGTAGTGCTACTCTGCCTCTCCTCCTAAGAGAGCTATTTGCAATATAAATAAGCAAAGCAAGCAGGCTAGCCCCAACCTGTCTTGAGTTCCCAGCCCACCAACTATAATCTTATAGCTAATTCCTCGGATACTGTGTCTACCACTCAGTATTATAATCTCAATTTTCACTTTATAAGCCTGGACCCATATTTATATGTCGGCACCTAAAACGTGAAGTATTGCTTCCTGATTGCCCAACCCACTTATTTTCTCCAGTGAATTACTGGGCAGTTTCAGCATCATAATTGTTCTCTCCAAGTCATATCTGCTGCCTTCCACAGTAATTGGTTTTACAACTTTTTTTTTTCCTGGGCATTTTTCCTCCCTACCTCACCACATTCAGCTTAAAGCCCTATTGATCAGTCCTGCCTGAATTTATAGGGATTGGCTAAAGAATTACAAGACCCCTCCTCAAGGCTGAGATTAATGAGTAACCCCAAATCTCATATTAGTCATGAATTCAGCCTCCATTTCCTAGCTGGCTGTTGTAGTTTATGAATAGTAGAAGTAACATTTGGTTTCCCTTTCTGTTTTTCTCTCCTGTGGTCTGTTGAAGGCTCTGATAAATAGGGAAATGACCACGAGAGAGGCAGTGGAGAAAGCCAAGGGATATTACAGATCAGGACCTGTGTGGTCTGCTCTGGCCTCACCATTTCCTTATCACATTCCCTTTCTTTGGCAGTTGAGTTGTTCTTCTATGATTTGGAAGGTTTAAATTTTCAAGAGTCCCCCTTGTTCATTAGTTGACTATTTATCCTTTCTGACTTTCTACGTCAGAGGTTGTTGAAAGGATTAAATGAGATGATATATGTTAAGTGCCTGGTACAGTCCTTAATATATACTAAGCATCAGGTGGTAGCTATTATTGTTGAAGGTATGAAATTTAACTTTTGCTTGCTACTGAGGCTGAATCAAATTCTGAGCTCTTCTGAAATAATTTCTACCTGTAGGTTCTTCTAGGCTTCTTCTCTGACATAGGAAACCAGTGCTAACCATAATGAGATGCTGAAGCACTGCTTGTGAAACAACTTACTTGATTTAATGAATTTCTCATTCTGAATAAATCCTAAGACTAAAGAGAATCTGTGTGTAGTAAATAGAAGTAAGCTTTCTGGTATTTCTAACTTTGAGTGTCAGAAGGAGGTGTTTAACAACAGCTATTACCATTGCCATCATTAGTTGTCATTATTAAGCATGTACCACATGCTGGCTACTGCTGTACTGAGCACTTTTCATGCATCACCTTACTTAACCTTCACAACAGTGCTGTGAACAAGTAGATTCCGTGTTGTTCTCCATCAGGAAGGCAGAGTAATAACTTGCCCCAAGTGACACAATAATCAGGGGCAGAGTCCATGTGTAAGCCCCATGCTCCTAACACTACTCATCCTCCCTTTCAAGCTAAAACATGGACGTTTCTTTTGTACCATTATTTTATGTCAACAACTGCAAACAGGGGTGCATGAACCAGTTGCCACTCTGCATGTTTCGGTGTTAACTCCTGCCCTTCTGCATGCACTCCTCCAGCTGTTACAATGTCCCTGGATTTGTAGTTGATGACGGCTGTTATCTGCATGGACAGGTGTGCAACTGCTTATATTCTCTTGGCTGAAGAAGAAGCAACAACCATTGCTGAAGCAGAGAAGCTGTTTAAGCAGGCCCTGAAAGCTGGAGATGGCTGTTACCGGCGTTCTCAGCAGCTGCAGCATCATGGATCCCAGTATGAAGCCCAACACAGTAAGGCTTCCTCCAGGTTGATGTGTTGGGGGATCAGAATTGTAACATGATTAATCAGAGCAAATTTTCAGGCCAGTTCAAAATACGATTTTCTGAGTTTAGTATAAATGTAGTTTTTGGCCTTTCTTTGTTTTTATTTTTCTTCTCCATAAGAGCACAGTACATAATTAAATTATAGTTTCATTATTGTTCATGTTTTCTTTCTGTCCCATAGATATTTAACTCTAGAAATAAATGATAATAACCTTTAACGGTGAACCTTTTTTCTCCTCAGAATTCTTACACAATTCTATATACCAGTTGCTTCTCTGCCCCATAATTTTAAGTCTTAGTTGGCAAAAAGGACTTAAACTTGTGTTAATGCTATCAGAGGTTTATCTCATGCATCTTCTACAGCATGGATTGAAATAGGACAGCTAAGAATTTAACAGCAATTGGTGATTCTTAGTATTTAGCTATCATTTAGGAAGCACTGTTGCTGGCTTCTAGGGAGGAAGAGTCCTAAATTCCTAATTATTTATCTTTTTTATGTTTAAAGTGATGACTTCCTATATTTAACACAACTCTTTAACATGAGACCTTTCATTTTAGTACACTAAACTGTGAGTCAGTGATGTTTGGGGAAAATGGTGTAAAAACAAGATAACAAAGTCATTTCTGGAATTCCTTGAGCTCCTTGTCTTGTCAGTTTGTTGGTTGTTTAAGAAGAAATTTAGTGATCCTTGTGAGAGAGAATGTTTTCATTGTCTAACCAAACTTGGAAGTGTCTCTTTAAAATGATATTTCTCTCAACTCATTTCTCTCTCCTGCGTCTTGGAGAGTAGGAGTGTATCTCCTTCATATTTGAGATTATAAAATTTAGTTTTATTGTTAAGCCTGAATTTGGTGCAGAAACTGAGTGCATTAGTCCCTATGGCTAAGGTACAGTGAGATCTTTGCGTTGTGGCCCGTGTAAATGTGTAAATGTAAATGTGTCCATATAACCCCTCAATGCACAGGTTTTTATTTTTATTCTGTAGTAGTGTATATGTTGTGGCTCAGACTATAAAGAATCCACTTGCAGTGTGGGAGACCTAGGTTCAATCCCTGGGTTGGAAAGATCCCCTGGAGGAGGGCATGGCAACCCACTTCAGTATTCTTGCCTGGAGAATCCCCAAGGACAGAGGAGCCTGGCGGGCTACAGTCCATGGGGTCGCAAAGAGTCAGACACGACTGAGCAACTAAGCACAGTGTATATGTTAATCAAGTCTCTAATCATCATGTCTCTCTTGCTTTTTTTTTAAAATATGTATAACAGTGACTTTTGTAGACATATATAGTAAATGTCTGTTTTGTGAACTAAATGAGGATTAATACATAAAATTACAAAATCTGTAATATAACTTGAGAAATTGTCTTTATTTCTTTTCTTCTGTAAATTAATCCTTTCAAACTGTTGCCCAAATCTATCCAAAAATATAATCACATCTTTAAAATAATTGGTAGGTATCTGGCAAATTTTCAACACACATCTTGTTCTCATTGTTTGAAACTTGAAATGTTAGGACTTTGGTCTTAACATCTTTTAATAGCTGTGTATTATACATATACTTAATCTATAACAGGTGTGTCATATTTTTCTAAAACATGGTAATTTTATTGAGGATTAAGTACATGCATGTTCTCACTGGTCTGAAAACATATCCAAAAAGACACATAATTAAATAAAGAGATTAAGATGAGAAGTTGTTAATGTGCTTTTTAAGAGCCATTTTGGTGACTATTATTACAACTATTTAGCATGTCAATACTTTCTCTAACACTAGGATAGTTTTTCATTTTGTTGCATAGTCTGTTGTCATATCTGGAATGTGTTATGTTGCCATCTGAAATTGACTGCTTTGGGGACCTGGAGATGATTATGATGTCACTAGTGTTAGGGAAAGAATAATATAAAACAGAAGTTCAAGATGAGGCTTCTCTAGACTTATTGTCAAGAAGGAAAGAAATAATAGTTCATCAGGATGCAACCTGAGATTCACCTTTTGCATCTTCGCCAAAGGCATGCACACTAGAAGAATGTGGAATTTTTGCTTGTAAACCGCATGCAATGTGGATATGTCCATTTTCCCAGCACTTTGTGGCAGATGATTTTATTTATCGAATATTCAACATCCTAACTCAAAAGCATGGATTAACAATCAGTCACATGCTTTGACCTTGGAGGCTAAGTGCTTTGATTTCACTCTGTATACCTTCTGCAATTAGCAAAGTTGTCAGTGCACCTCCAGTAAGGAAAAGTCAGAGAAGCAGACTGTTCTCTGAGGTTTTCCTTCAAGGGCATGGAAAACACGCCTCTGTATTTCTGTATTTTTATTTTTTCTTGCTGCTCAGCTGAAAGTTCTTTTTTTTTCTTTTTTTTAAGTTTTCATGTTTTATGTCTCCCTCTTCAGGACGAGACACCAATGTCTTGGTCTACATCAAAAGAAGACTAGCCATGTGTGCCAGAAGACTTGGGAGGACCAGAGAAGCAGTGAAAATGATGAGAGATGTGAGTGTGAAGTGGTGTTTGGGAGCAGCGGCAATGCACCTGACCTAGAGAAGGAGGAGTCCACCGAGCGAGACCATAGCAGATAGTACCACTGGTGGTGTGCTGCTCCCACGGGAGCTGGGGTTCTCTTCTAACCACAGCTTAGTCAGTGAGTGACCTTGGACAAGTTACTCAACTTCTTTGTGCCCTATTTCCTCATCCATAAAATGGGGATAACAATAACTTTAGCAATAGCAACACACTAATAATAATGATCACTACTTAGGATCGTGGTGAAGATTAAATGAGATAATACATGCAAGGCTTTTAATAGAATGACTAGCCTGTTAAAGAAATATCCTTGTTATTAGACCTTTGGGGCTGTAGCCAGAAGCCAAGAATGAGATCAGCCATTTTAGCTAACTGACATTTTTTGTATTTAGTTGTTAGGACGATTTGAATAAACTATGGCTCAAATTGCTACTCTCAAATTTAATAACATTATGATCTAATCTTATTAGAGTCATTTCAAGCATTTTCCTAGGTTCTTGAATCAAGACATTTTATTAATAGTAGTCAACATAATAAGAGAGGAAATAGGTGAGAGTTTTAAAACAAAAGTGAACCAAAGGAGGTTATTATTATGTAACTTTAAATAAAAACAGTGGTTTTAAGGGAAACCAGTTGAGGGACTTTTACTTCTACTTTTTCTTTTTTTACAGTAAGAAATTCTTTTCATAAAGAAACAGACACCAGTGGGGATTGTATTTATAAACTATTTTCTTTTGAAAAACAGTCTCAGAAAGCCTTTGTCAACATTTCATTCCTTTACTGTCTTCCTTGCTTAGGCATAGGTAAACTGCCCATTATAAAAAGAAACATGAGGGAAGATAAAAGTGGTGTCTTGCACAGGTCTCAGCTTTTGGGTTGAGAGCAGGACTGTGTAAACCCAGTGAGTCCTTTCTCAATTTGTCTCTGGACCGGTATTATTCATGTAAATTCTCAGTTACTCTTTGGCAGTGGGAGTCTGCACCAGGATCACCCCTGGTTGTTTCTGCAAGTTACAGCATAATGGGATGACACAAGTGAGACCCATGCTTCTGGCTTGGGTTCTGGCTCCTCCACTAAACAGCAGTGTAGCCACCAGACCTGAAGAGAGGGTCAGAGGAGGGAGATTCCAAAATAACTCTACCTTGACTGAAGGTGACAGATGTTTCTTAGGCAAAGCCACTGCAAAGGGAACCTCCCAGGATTAAATTCCTTTTGTTGAAGGAAGAACTGAAAGAATGTTTGTTATATAGTATAAGTGCTAAGTTTTAGAAAAGGCAAGATTTCTGTAGAGACATGACTTGCTCTCAAAGCCTTTTCACTTGCAGAAATTCCAGCCTTTAATATAGTGAAGAAACACTGCCAGTCCCTGAAAGAGCTGAGAATTTTATGAAGGATAGGGTATTTCTCTATGTGAAAGTGGCCCAGCTACATTAAACTGGCCCTGGCACATTCAGCCTTTAACAAGGTGTTTTATATTTATTGCCTTTTCTTAACCTTAATTAGCCTGGGACAAGCATGCATGGAGGAACAGATTCTGGTGATTTTCTTTATTATATGCTTAAGCAACTTCATAGGAAAAACAAACTCAAATGATTTTAATTCCAGTTTTTTTCAATCAGCCTCATTCTGATTGTCATCATTTTTCGTATATACATATAAAATTTCACATGATTAAAACCAATACATCTATACTGTGGTTTAATTTTTGTTTAACATTATTTTATATTTGCAATTCCATTTATTGACATAGTCTACAAATAGATCTTGGGTGGGGGGAGGGGTAAATCTGGGATCCAATAAAATAAATGCTAGGCAGAGAGTAAAAAAACCTGCAAGTGAATCTCAGCTTCGCTCTTCATTAGCTTTGTGACTCAGGGCAGCTTTCTCCCCTTTCATGGGCTCTTCATTTGTCTTGTAAATCAGGGATAATGATTCTTGTCTAAAAGCATAATTGAGGGAGTGATGGGGAGAATGAAGTGACATAATGTGAAAACACCTGACATATAATAGATATGCTTCCCTTTTTTGCCCTACTTTTTCTCCATTATATATAATTATGTCTTCAATTTGCTGAAGTGTTCCTCTGATGAGCATTTTGAGATATTTCTGATTTCCTTTCCTTGAATGAATCAATTAGTCTCTTTTCATATGTGTATAAATATATACATATATATATGTATATACACACACATACATGTGTATATCTATATTTATATGTATATGTTTCTTGGGTTACTTTTCTTTAAAAAAATCTGTCATATTATTAGAATACCAACATGTTCTCTTTTGACTGGGTTTCTGGAGCATCCAGTAGATATGGGCCCCAGTGTTGTAACAGTCCTGTGAAGGACACTGTCAGACATGGTAGAAATGTGTTTTGAAGAGAAATATCCAAAATACTCTTTCCTTCAGAAGCTCCTGGAACCCTAAGTGGAGGAGGGAAGACTGAGGCCCCTCTCTGTTAAAGCTGCAGCTGGCCCCAGCCCTGCAGGAGATAGTTGGTCGGTCCTGACTCTTCTTAGGTCACGGGTCGTGCGTAGACAGGACTTCACTGAGGGGTACTCCTTTAACAGCATGCACATAAGCCGTCTTGCTGGAAAGCTTCCTTTGATAAAACAGCACACTGGATTCCAGGCAGCCTGCTGATAAAGCCTGAGGGCAGAAGGACCTAATTTTTCATTAAGACACAGCCATCCTACCCCATATGCATTAGTTGAAACTTTCCTAGAGCAGATTTTAAAGTGGAAACAAATGGTAGAGTCAAAATGCCTTCCATGTAGAAAGTAGACTCTTTAAAACATTTCTCTGGAAATCTCTTAAGAAAGGGAAAACTGAAAAAAAAAAAAAAAAAGAAGAAAGAAAGGGAAAACTGTTAAAAACCATTAAAAACTGTTAATTAGTGATTTATCCTGAAAGAGAGTGAATGGATTTCTGGGAAGGCTAACTGTCGATGGTTGTGGATCCAAATATTGATCCTCCAAGTGAACTATTGATGAGAAAAGAAAACATAGGTTCATTTATGTCAAGATTCATGGTTTCTTTTTTAAAAGCAAGACATTAATTATTTTTAACTCTCAGGATGTTTTCTCAAAAAAAAAACCCACTTTAATTAGCTTCCTTTTGCAGTCAAGAATACAAGAGCACCTTCCTTGTTGAAGAGTGTTTGGCAGCAAGCAGAGCTAAGAAAGCATGGTGGCTTTTGAACTTCACTATAAGGTGTTATTTAATATTCAAAATGAAAAGAGTTGTATTTTCTGCTTTCTTAACTTAAAGAAAAATCTGTTTGCTTGTTTTCATTTAAAGGAATTTTGTCTCTCTTGTTAACATTTGGTATATAGCACAATTTATTTTCTCTTTTTAACTTTTACCAATGAGCTAACCTCAGGTTTTTCCTCTATCCTTCCCTGGTCCTGTTTGAGTTGATTGGAGATAGAATTCATGAGACTGACTAGTCTGGCCCGTAAACCATGCTCCATCTGGCCCCTGGTATGGATGGGATTGTGTGCCTAGATAAGAGAACCTTCTTAAAGATCATCTTACCCCAGGTCACTGAGTCTAGGGTAGGGTTTCCCAGCCTTGGCACTCTGGACATTTGAGGCCACCTGTCTTTGTTGTGTGCATCCTGTGCATTGTAGGATGGTCAGCAGCATCCCTGGCCTCTACCCACTAGATGCAGTAGTTGTCCTCTCGCTTGTTGCTTCCCCCAACATCTTTAGACATTTGTCCCCTATTTAGAACCGCTGATGTGGAGAATCCTGAAGTGAGTAGATGTGTTTTGGGGCAGACATCAAATTTTTATTTACTTTGCTTATCTGTAGTCTGAGTTTCCCCTGTGGTAGGTACAAGCCTCTAAAGCATCCCTGGGATTAATCAGTTCCTACTAGAACCCTTGACTGACCTGGGACTGTGCTAGTCTGAGGAGATGAGTCTTAGATGGCACTCACTGAATAGGGATCTGAGGGGTGAAGAGTCAGTGAACTTAAAGATTTTGGTGGGGACCTAGTTGGGGGGTAAGAGAGAGGCAAAATAAAGGCTAATGTGGGGTAGTGTCTTCCTTGGTCCTTCCTTGGTCTAAATCATCATCTTCCTCTCTTCCCTAAAATGTATAGCTCCTTTGAAAGTTGACCATAGGCTCTCAGACTTACCACCTGTCTCTCCTCCTTCCAGTAGTTTCCTACAGACCTCCGAGTCATTATCCCTGACCCTTGTTTCATCCTCTCTCTGCAGCTCTACCTCTTTTCCTATCCTGGCCTCTCATTTGACACAGGTCATCACACGCTTATTAAAACATTTTATTTCTTTCAGGAAACCATGCTTCTTAGTCCTCATGAAGTCTCAGTCTTCCTGGCTAGTTTCTCCTCATCTTCCTAACTTGCCAAATTTGAAGTGTTTCCTGGCCTGTTCTAAGCCTTTTTGGTTACCATCTACAACTCTGGAAAATGACATTTAGACTCAGAGGTTTGAATGCCAATGAACTTATTTGCAGTGTTTATTATGTTCTAGGTATTATTTTAAGTGCTTTACAAATATAAATCACTTAATGCTCATAACAGCCCTTGATGTAGGTGCTTGTTCAAGGTTGCATAGCTAATGCATAGTTCTGAGAAGGTGATCTTCCAATCACCTGCAACAGCAATACCAGGGTGCTAGTTGAGTATCTACTTCATAGGATTGGTGTAAGAATTAAATGGAATAATTCCTGCAAGGCACTTGGCACAGGACTTCACAAAGAATAAGTACTCAGTTAGTGTTGCTATTCTTACCATTACTGTCTAAGGTATATTGTTAAGTGATAAGGAAAGGTGTAATAATAGATGTAGTTTGATTCCATTTTTTTCAATTAAAAGTAGATGCTAGTATCAACCCATGGTTCTCAAGCTTTTTGGTCTCATAATCCTTTTAAAATTACTAAGGACCTCAAGACTTTGATTTGTATGGGTTTATCTACTGATGTTTATAATTTCTGAAGC